AAAATGTGCGGAATCCATTGGTAACAAAAGTGCATCTAAAAAACTTCCCAATCAGTTATTATAAGCTAATTGTTGCACACTTGCACAAAGCAGAAGGGCTTGAGGATTTAAATATTTACATAGGCCTACCAAAAAACGCACAGCGTGCTTCACATCGAGACAACGTCCATAACATATACCGTACAATTGTGATTCATTTGCTGAAAAAATTAGGTCGGCATTACACTGCCGGCAAAAGTTATTGCAGTTCTAGTGACGCTAGGTCGCCGCCCGGCCGACCCCGGTCAGGTCGGCCGGGCGACGGCCGTGCAGCTGACGTCCGTGCGGTTCGGCAGCTGACCAATCAGCTGCGAGAGAGGAGCGCGGTCCGTCTAATCGCCCCCGGCAGTTGCTTGTGCTGAGGGGTGCTCGACGCTCGTGTCGATTGCATTTGTTGGTTGTCGATTGTCGAATGACTTGTGGGTATACTTTCTGGTGACCAATAAATGTACGTCGTCTTAACAGAATGTAGTCTGATCAAATTCAATAAAGCAAAAAGACATCCAGCCAACAGAATATCGTAAGAATGTCCGATATGGTTGATAACATTCAGAGTTTTGGGGAGCAGCCATCGACCAGAATGAACGTCATTGGCTTTTGTATGTAACATTTGCATTGCTTTTGGAAAGTTTCAGTCAGATATCTTCAGAAATGGCAATGTTATTGGCTTTTGCATTTTACCGTAGTCAGTTAATCACAATTTTCGATATTGCAAAGGCAATTTCAGTACGTTCTTGACATCGAAAACCAAAATGAATAGCATCATCGTGTTCCAGAGCTCAAATTGCATCCGATGCACATCTTTTTTGTTGATAATGCTCAACTTCAAAATTTGACCTTTTTGACCTCGCCGTGACCTGACCTTCATTTGTCGAATGGAAATAGTTTCGAATCGGACGACCCAGATGACATCATTTGTAGATGCTTTTGCCGAAATGGACCATTAAAGATGTGTCGCATGACCTTAAAAATGTATACATTTCCTTCCATGACCCTTTCCATGACCTTTTGTGACCCATGACCTTTCCATGACCTTTTGTGACAAAGTTAGGTTTCGTTTATCAGCTATTCCTATCAGAAGCCGTTTGAACTTTTAGTATTGAACGAGTAGTTTCGAAGACAGCAGGGAAGCTATGCAGAATCCCCTCCCGAGTCACCCACGTTATGGGATATACCCGTCATCCGCGGATTACAAGCAAAATATTTTTTACGGCAATGATGTATCAGCATGGATGCTCATACGTTCCCATATGTGACCTTACGGTTGACTTCACATACAATAAAAAATTCCTTGGCAAAATGTCAACTGGTTAACGAGTTATCGCATTTTGGCCACTTCCAAACTCAAATAGCGGCTGTGTGCGGGGGCGCGCTGACGCATGCCTCAGCCGGGCGGCTGGTCTCGGAACGCGGGGGAGTCCGGTGCGGTACCTCACTTCTCGGACGTTCTCAGGCGGTGACAGGTGGTGTTGGGGCCTTGCAAAACGCCTGTGGTATGTTCGGGAATGCGCACTAACATACTGCCCCGTAGTGTGAGGTCCGCGCTGACTGACAGCGTGTTATCAGCGCCTCTTCACCCTAGCCCAGGGTCCTGAGCTCGGCACGGAGCTGGGAACTGGACGGAGCTCTGTTAGCTGGGTAGCGGATTCTCCGCCGCTGTCACAGGAAACTGTCAGTATACCCGGTTTCGGGGAGAAATCGTCGGAATGCGGTGCAGTGTGGGAAATAGAGATGCAGCCTTTTCCTGAAAGTCAGTCCGGCGCTGTTACTGGGCAGCCCGGGGCTCCGACTAGTGGTGCTCAATGCAAGACCCGGCGTAGTTATGGCTGAGCTCAGACATGATAAGTCATCTTGTGTTTGTTGTTTGACATGTGATTTACATCACATGTCGGCTGATGTTTTGTGATATTGCGGTAAAGACAGTGGAAATCGGAAGTTGTCGTAGTTTTTTTTTTTGTATTTAGTATAATTGGTGCCGTGCTGTGTCATGGCTAAGTATTAAGTAATTTATAGCTTTTAGTGATGCCTTATATATAGGTACTTTGCCTCAGTCACATTTTTCGGTGTTTCTTTTTCATATTCTTCTGGTCAAGGCTCTCACGACTAAACAGCTCGGATTCGTATATTTTCATTGCAGTTCGGGGGTTAGCTGCTGGGACCCTATCACATATCACCAGGAGAGGAGCCCTGGTCATATGACCGGATAATAACCGTTGAGTTGACTTGGTCGGTTGGACCGTTTTACGCTGTCATCATCCCGGTCAGATGGAGCCGTTTCAGCTGTTTTTTTTTTTTCGGAGTGTGGGAGCTTTCGGTCTCAGTCTAACTCATTCCCCACACATTGGCGAGCTACACTTTCTTTGCCGACTCGTTCCATCCCGATGACTGATCTGCCTTGTTAGGTTTTCGGCTTGCTTTCAAATCCGCTGATGTGCATTTTGTTTACATAGAGCTATAGAGGCCAGCTGAGGGATGCGACAGACTTGGTTTTGTGATTCTGTAAAGCACGATTACTAACTGGCATCGCCTGACTGCATGATAAATTCGCTCGCCACGCTTAGTTAACAATCCCGTGACGATTCCTGTCAAGTTTGATGTCATCTTTTTGTGTAAATCAGCGGAACGCTTTGCACGAAAGGTTTATATGTCGTGATTTCTCCAACCTCAAGGGCATGGCTTTCAACCTCTATCAAGACGTATTATCCACCCATAGATCCTATCCATCATCAGAACATACTTTTACTGCAAATATCCAGTTTCATCGGAGCTTGATTTAAAAGTGCAGTACTGGAATAATGAAGACATACTTGTTTCGGTAATAGCATTGCGATAAGGTTTTCCATGAAGCTCTAGAATCTGAAGAGCGGTGTACATGAACCATTTTTAGGACCACATGAATGTCTGACATTTGAACAATGTATATGTATTGTGGAACGCTGCTTAATTAAGTTGGTAACTCTGAGGGATGTCGTGCATACTACATATATCCGATTCTCTCTCTATATCTTTGTACGGTATATCGGCTAGTTTTTATACCCTTGACGTCACGCCTGCCACTAATAGTGCAGGTCGCGGGGCGAACGCGTGCACACGTGCATTATTGACGTCTCCCTGTCTGTGACTGGCGTCATTATGAGGAGTCTGGATACGCAGTGGGCTGGCGGCGGCTCGTGGAAAGTGGGTCGGGTGCCGTGTCTACTATGAGTGCTGTCTGTCGGGGGGGGGGGGGGGTTAGAGGGAGAAGGGGTACTGTCTGGCGGACGGTTGTTTACCGTCTGCCCGCTGCTGGTACTACGGTGTGTCGGCGGGGTGGTTACTGTCGGTAGGCCAGATTTTGTGGCTACCGCTGCTATTTGGAGCGGTGTGGTGGTTACTTGTCTGTCGGAGGATTGGTTGCTGACTGTTGGTTGGTTCTCTGCCGATGAATCAGGCTAGCTGTGGCGGTGGTTCTGGGTATCTACTCATTCAGTAGGTCCGGGTATCTGTTATATGAGTTGGCCCGCGCCAGTTGGCATTTGGTAGGAGCGCAGTTCAGGGGCGGATCCAGAAAATCTCCAAGGGAGGGGCCATTAGAAACCAGGAGGCCCCCCCCCCATAATCCCACCTGTTGGAGGCCCCATCTTCCCACTTGTTGGGCCCCCCCCCCAAAAAAAAACTGCGTCTATTGAGCTTATCTAGCTGTTCAGGCAACATCTCAACATCTGTGCAGGCTTGGAGGCCCTCTGTGCAGGTTAGGAGGCCCTGTAAAAGTGGTCATCTCTGTGAGTATAAGAGACCTCCAAGTTATGAAAAGCTTTACCAATCTTCTAACAAAGAAGTCTTCTCAGCTAGTCTTCTAAGAAATAACTAAGTGGGTAGGTTAAAAAAAAAAAACTCATCGGATTTCGGCCACTTTATTTTCAGGAGGCCCCCTTTTCAGCTTTTTAACTTTTTAACTTTTTATTTTATTTTTGAAAAAAATCGGCCAAGGGGGGGGCCATGGCCCCCATGGCCCCCCCCCCTTGTATCCGCGCCTGGCGCAGTTGGGCCCGGGGTTGTTCTTACAGCAGGCGATGGGTCCTAGCGGGTCGCCAGGAGCGCAGTGGGGCCCAGTGTTGTCCCGGTGTCAGTCGGTGGGTACGCCGGCCACTGCGCCGCGTTCCCGGCGACCCCGGCCGGGTCAGGGACACCCTGTGCCGATCGATTTCTGAGGCGCTGGCTGGACCCTGTCCAATGGGAGTCCTTCGGGAGTCCCCTCCTCGGCTAGCTGTGAGTTGGTGGTGACTCACTGTCGGTGAGCGGCAGCCGGTGAGATGAGGTGCCGCCAGACTGACACCGGCCGCCGGAACTACCGGCCGCTCTCTCACTGGCCGCCGGCCGGTCCAGCCCGACTGGGTGATATGTTTGAGTTTTGTGGCCGGTCGGTGTACGCAGCCACAGGCCATGGCCAGTGAATGTATGGTATTGCGTCACTTTTGACGCAGTGAGACGCGTCAGACAGTTCGACACATTGGGATTGCCGATAAGTTTGGTACTGGTCCGTCCTCCCTGACAGCACTGTATTTACCAAGGTACCTATCAATACTGATTTATTTATGTCGCGACATTTCAACATCTATCGTTGTTGGCTGGTGTTTGACTCGGACACCCACTTCAGCCTCAAATAGATGATGTCAATCACGGAGTGTGTGATGTGTCACGGGAGGCCTTTTTAGACGTTGCCGACACGATCACCGATTCATACTCAACGGAGGTGCTGCTGTGTGAAATGGTAACCCTTCCTTGCACCAATAGTGAAATCCAAGTGTGCCAACGATGTTCCCTTTATGTGTAAGCATGCTTTACACACTGACTACGAGTATGTCGCTTTCACTCATACGTTCGATATGCATTACTTACCAGCGGGGAGTTTTGCGCTGTTGAACCGAAACCTTCGTAGTCTGTGCGTTCGTCCACTGACCGGTGTGTTTCTGTCTTTACAGAGAGACCGCCGGAAACAGGAGGAGGAGGGGTACCGCTGCCACAGCCCGGAGGGCGGTATAACGTGCCGCTGTCGGCACAGCCCCGCGGCTACGGGCCGCCCCCAGGTGAGACTGCGTACCAGTGGGGCTGCTGCAGACCATGCAGACCTTACAGATTAGTGTATTTATTGCTTACCACTGCCAAGTGAACCTATGATCAGTAGAGTGGCTACTTACTGAGGTAAACTTACTAATAAAATCACTACAGAAAAAATCAGTCGAGCTTTCTGGTCAATACGCCATCCACACATAATCGCCGGTGTACCCAAATAAAGGCAATAAAGCTGCGTGTTGAGTCAAAGTGATGCAGTCGCTCACTTCGCTGCCCTGCTGTTCAAGTGTAGCTGATCTGTGTCTCTCGTTTTCTAACCCGTCTGTCCGTGCACCTACAGGAGCGGGCGATGGCCAGCCACTCCAGTACATGCCCCCGCCGCGGCCCTACCAGCAGCCCATGCATGAGATGGCCAAACAGAACTGTGAGTGGCCATACTGAGTCCGTGGGGACCGCCGGTTGAACGGGCTGGATTAGGGAGGGTCTAGTGTAAAACAATGTAGTGTTTTTGTATGGGCTGATGACTGGTGCTCACTGATAATTTCGGTAAGGACTTGAATGTGTTGTATGGGCGATATTTGTTTTATGAATCGATGTATTGCGGACTGATGTTTGCTGTATATGGTGGAGTGTCGTTCGCTGTGTGGATTTCTGTATGACAGACTGTAGTTGTTCGCTGTGTGGTCTGACACTCGCTCCCCGTTGTCCGGCAGTGGAGCTGCCCTCGGTGCCGGGCTACCCTGGCCCGCACCAGCACCACCAGGCGCCGGTGCTGCGGCCCGGCGCGCCGCTGGTGACCGGCGCGCCCGGCTACAGCGCGCACCAGATGATGGCCGGGCCGCGGCCGCCGGCGCCCGCCCCCGGCTACCCGCCCGGCGGGCACGCCATCAGTATGCCACCGCCGCCGGCGCCGCACTCGGCAGCCGCCTTCAGCATGGCCGGCGGACTGCCGCCAGGACAGGTCAGAGGGGTGAGGACGAACTATCGGGGAGTGGGGAGACTAGGAGAACATCAGGGCAGGTCAGGGAGCAAAGGAGTTCTGTCGGCCTTGGAGAGCCACTGGTCACACCGGGACGTCGATGGTTCCTTGAGAGTCACTGTGTAGTCTAGGGAACATCGGGGCATCAAAGTTCCCAAGAAACTGGACTAGTGGTCAACTGACGGTAGATAAGAGATGGCTCTTGTTTGCCGCCTATTAGTCCCAATCTATTGATATATTCCATGTCATATGTCGATCAGGTGTACCGACTACCGATCAGTGCCACTAATGCCGATACGACCCTGTCCTGTTACTGACATAATGTCTGCCTTCCACAGGCGCCGCCGATGATGATGTTCTTTTCTCCGGGTCAGGTGCCGCCCGGCGGACAGGTGAGTCTCGGCCGTCTCTGCTGTCAATATTACCGTCTCAGGCCGTCTCCGCACATATTTGCTACTGGAGCTTTAGACGTCATCGAAAATAATTTTGCAATGCAGACTTGCAGTAGGGGTTAGTTGGGAGGGGTGGGGGGGGGGTGCCTGCTTCGTCCTTTAGCTGGTCGGTTAATAGTGTTGGGCAGGTCTACGGAATCGATAGGTTTTCGGTGACTCCGCCTCCGCCTTCCAAAAGTCAACCCGACACTGACTCCGGTCGGAACGCTCGACTCCGGCTTCCAACATCGACTCCGACTCTGACTCCGGTCGGAACTCTCGACTCCGAGCAAACCCGACTCCGTAGCCCTGGTGTTGGGTAATTGTAATTGCGCCACAGAACTACGATGGTGTGGTTTAATGTGTGTACGGTGGTTTTGTGTATACTTAGTTGTGCGCGTCAGGCCGGCCAATAACCATCCGTCCTCCCAATATGTTGCGTGCGTACGTACAGGCGCATACAAACGTCCCGGAGCTGACATACTAACTCATTTGTAACGCAGGATATGTGTGCCGGCATATCGCCGCAGCTAACTGAATCCCAAACGTTGATAACTACTCACTGGCTCATGAGCGAGGGCGTTGATGTCTTGCGACTCACTGCATTAATGTTTCATCACGTGCAATGCAGTCACGCCGAAACAGTTGCTGCGGACGCAAATTCTGCCACTCTGACTGTGGCCTGAACTCCGACCCCTCCCTTTGTGTTCCGGCAGGGTCACCCGGGCGTGCGTCAGGGGCCAACTGCCTACATGCCCACACCTCCCGTGTACTCTACCCAGCCACCATACCAGCAGCAGCTGACTGTCCAGCCTCCTCAGGGTGAGTACCGGCCTCCGAGCCACCGACGGGACAAGCGCTCGGCACATCCCACCGGGGGACGCTAGTAGAGAGCACAGGAGACCGAGTGGGGAGACGTGTTTTTCTATTAGTTTTCCGGTTATCCTGTGATCGCCATGCATCGGTCATCAGGGAATATATGTGTTACAATATATGTGTTACAGGGAATATATGTAGATTGTTTTGTTTAGAAGCTACTGAAGTTTATAAGTATTCGAGTTCAACAGAATTAATGTGTATGGCTTGAAATCAGCCATTTACAAATTATCAATCATTCGGCGAGTTTCCTCCCGTCAGTGTCAGATACCACCCCGGGCAGTGACCTGACCCTCCCGCAGCGGTACCCTGTTCAACTCTCGCCTCCGGCTCTGGCAGGTCTGTACGTGCAGGCGCAGCCACAGCCGGCGCCCGGCGGCCAGCCGGCGCCGCCGCAGATGTGGGGCCCGCCGCCGCCTCCGGCTCAGATGTCCCTGCCGCCGCCGATGGAGCCGCTGCAGGCGCGGCGGCCCCAGGAGCCGCTGTACGCGCCGCCGGTGCCGCCCCCGGCTCCCGTGCAGCACCACGCCAGCCACCGGATCCCCATCATCAACCCGGAGACTCACGAGGAGGTGGCTGTGAGCGGCAGTAGTGCACAGACCCCCGTGAGTTGTCCTCCATCGTGGACAGTGGTCGGTCGGCCGGAGACCAACTGTGTGTCGGTGTGTATGTGGGTCTGTGAGTGCGCAGTCGGGCCGAGTGTAAGAGCTGGCGTCGAGTTTGATAGAATGATATGTTGTGATGTTGTGCTATGCTAGTGGTTAACCTCCCGCTGCTGGAATTGTGGCATGTTCTGTTTACCTTATGGCTGCCGAACTCCTAGGGCAGAGCTATGACATTCAGTGGTAGTTTCGACACGACACTCGCCATCGTCTGACCCCCTCCTCCTCCAACAGAGCGGCGTCCCGGAGACGGCGTGGCGGCCGCTGGGCAACGGCGTGTCCACACTGCCCCGCTCGGGCCGCCAGCATAGCAGCGCCAGCGTCTCCGAGCTGGGTGAGCCGGACAGCCGGCGCGGCCCACGCGCCCGCTCCAGCGCCAGCTACTCCGAGTGCCCGCTGCCGGGCGAGGGCGTGCCCGAGTGGGCGCCGGCGCCCGCCATGGCGCCCCAGGCGGTGCCCGGGCGCTTCCAGACCCCCACCGCCAACGGCCTGTCCACACACTCGCCGGACGTGATTCGGCGCCAGGTGATGAATTATGGTACGTACGGAGACAGCGCCGCGCGGCCCGCCCGGTGTGGCGGCATGGGAGACGGGAAGTCTGTAAGGGTGTGTCGTTATCAGGTTAGCAGCTGTTTAGTGGTTACCTATCTCGAGGTTTCGAACTAGCTGTAATGAAACGGTATGATTTATTTCGTGGTTGAGAGGAGGGCTTGATGAGTCCGGAGTGCTTGCTTGGTGCAGCTTGTCTACTTCTCTGAATTTATTGTTATGCCTGTCGCGCCATGCATCCTCCTGTAACTGTAGTAGTCTGGTTGTGTGCCCCATCTGACCCGGCTGTGTCTGTGTTTCCCGCAGCGTCTCCGGCGTCGACGGTGCGTCAGTCGGAGTGGAACCCCGCTCGGGCGCCTGGCTGGTGTCCACCTGTGCCACCGTCCCGCCCGTCGGACGGTCACTACTCACTGCCGGCCAGCCTGCCCGACCTAGTACCGGTACCGAGTGTACCTCCCGGCCTGCCGCCCCCCGACAGCGCACTGCAGTACAGTCAGGCGGCGCCGCGCCCGGACGGGACGGAGATGGGCCTCCAGTACGGACAGAGTGTGCCGCCTGCCGTCAGCGCGCGGTTGGAGGGACCCGAGGCAGCGCGGCAGCAGTTCGCACACGGTGTCCCGCCGTCTATCGTGGACAGTCTGCCGAAGGAGCCGGAGAGTGAGCGGGAGCCAGCGGTCCCAGACGCGACCAGTGTCACTAGTGAGAGTGCTGATCCGGCCGGAGTGATTCCGGGCCGCCCCGAGGCTGTGACTGCGGAGCCAGCTAGCTCCGCTGAGGTGGCAACGGGCGAGTGTGTGCCCCTGCAGCAGCTAGAATCGTCTGCCGTCCAGGAGGAGCCAGTAGAAGAGTCTCCAGAGGTGGAGACTGCCGAGGAGGCAGCTGCTGAGCCGTCCCTGCCAGAGGCTGTGACAGTGGCCACCACGGAACTGGAGCGGCTGGCTGTGTCTGCAGCTGATGAGGCGCTGGCCGCCGCCCCGCCGCTGGAGCCGGCTCCTGAGTCAGTGTCGCCGGCACTGGACTCTGACCAGCCGGCTGAGTCCACTGAGGAGGTCCCTGCGGCGCCCGAGGAGGTGGTAAAGTCGCCTGTGACCGCGGTGGTGGTAAACGGGTCCCAGAGTCACTCCTCCGTAGTGTCGGACAAACCGTATGCGCCGGTAGTGCCGATTGAACAGAAGGCGCCGCATTTGAATGGTCAGAACGGCGGTCAGTCGGCAGCTGATGAGAATGGCGTGAAGGAAATTCCGCCAGCGGGGCCACAAGAGCCGACGCCGGAGCCTGAGGAGCCGAAGGAAACGGCGGTGGTCTCTGAGGAGCTTCAGGAGGTGACAGATGGGTCTAAAGAGCCACCAGTTGAGGTAACTACCGAGTCACCGAGCGAGCAGAGTCCGGAGCCGACTCCGGCCCTCACACCGCCCTCCGAGGACACTCCGGCCGACAGCTCCGCCCAGGGCACCCCGGCCAGCACTCCGGCCGACACTCCGTCGTTGGGCACTCCGGTGGGCACTCCGTCGGGCACCCCGGCTGCGTCGCGCCAGGGCTCCCCACCGCCTGTGAACGGTACGGCGGGCCGGCCGGTGCAGCCCGCTACAGAGTCGCCGCCGCGTCACCTCGCCGCCAAAGGTCAGTTGATTCGGCGGCGTGTCATGGAATGCCTCCTCAGTTGATGCGTCCTTGCACGCTTGGGAAGAAAGCGGCCGTCAAGGGAAGTTAGGCATGGATTTGCTTTGAAATGAATGGTTATGTAAAGAATCTTGTATACATTTAATTTGGACTAAGCTGTATCATTTTGATGCTTCCCATGCTGTCACTTTTTGTCTCATGCTCACGATTTCCACATGTAGTGCTCCAATATCCAAAATTATTTTAGTATGCATGTGTATGTGTGGGTGCATTCATGCGTATCGCATAGTGTCGTATTATAGGTATCGTATAGGTATCGTATAGCGTATCGTATAGAGTATGACTCGTGTGTATGTATGGGTGCAGTTGTATGCACACTGCACACAACTAGACAGGACTACTAAGACGTAGGCTAGACAGGGACAGAGCCGCCGCGCCGGCCAGCCGACAGACGCCCGCCGGAGACATGATACCGTGGGTCGGGTGGCGAGTGCTCGGCGCTGAGTGGCGAGCTGCGGCGGCCAGGGTCAAGACCATAGCCAGAGTCAGTGGGGCACGAGCGGAGATGCTGTTTGGGGCAGACCGGCATTTTGTGACCGTGGCTTAACTCCTACAATTATATTTGAAGATAGACTCTGAGTGGAGGTGTGGGTGTCCGGGTCATTTTCCGCGCTCCCTGTCCGCCCCGGTCCTGTGACTTACGGTCTGTCTGTCTCTCTGCCTGGTGCAGGTGACGGCCGGCCGACTCCGCCAGCTCCGGCGCCGTCACACGCCGCCAAGAAGCACTACGGCCGCTCGGAGCTGCTGGCGCTGCAGCACGCGCCTCTGTCGCAGCAGCGGCCGGCCGCGCTGCCCGACCTGCCGTCGGTGGTACGACGTGCCGGAGCGACCACCGACCAGCGCGCCGCCGCCCTCAAACCGCGCCCCATCGGACCGGGAGAGTTCGCCTCCGGCTTTAAACCGGCCGTCATGGGTCCGCCGGGCAAGGTGAGCGACAGTCGCTGGACCGCGCGTGGGGAACCGGTGCACAGTGGGGATTTTTCCGATCTAGCACGTATTTATTCGTAGAGGGCAAACCATAGGAAGTATTGTAGCCAGATTGTGCACAGATGTTGGCTGGTGTGTTCTGGTGAGAGTGTTACCTGTAAATGTGCATAATCAACATAGTATAGGGGGGTCAATTGGACCCCCGGCTCAGCCGTTTGGCCCCTGATCAAGCTAGAGCTTCGCGGAAAAATCAAGCGTGCTGTCTATGACGAGATGAGGCCGAATATATCCAATTTCAAAGTCCAAGGTCATTAGTTGACTTTCCAAGTCAAGTCAATGACCCAACTAAAGATGGAAAATCGAGACCTCTTGGAACTTCGTAAAGTTAGGATGTTACGGGGTATTTTGGAGTGCTGATCACGAATTTCATGTTAGTTTTGATCACAGACGATGTCTTCATGCATTTAAGCCAGGTCGGGTCAGGTCAGGTCAGCCAGTAGACGTCCTGCCGGCCATCCATAGTAGGTGTCATCTACTACTGACAGCTTCGTAACATGGTACGAAGGCACCAGAACTACTTCGTAAATATTCAAATGGTTGCTAAATTCGAAATCAACACCAAAAACTACTCTAGAAGCAAATAAAACTCGAAAAAGTGAACCAAGGTCATCAAAGGTCAATGACCTTGACCTGACCTTCACGTGACCTTGACACCCACCATAATGCATGGCACCAGCATCATTTCACATATTTGAACGTTTAAAACCACAAAAAGACTGGAAACCGCGGATAATGTGAGCTGGCATAAGCCGAATCGCGATTCCGGCCAAACATGGTCTCGAGAAATATGCCACAGGTCAAAGGTCAGTTGGGTCAGAGTCATGAAATTTTTAGGTTAGATGTAACATTGATGATCTCGAGGGCAACGAAAGTTTCGTCGCGATCGGCTGCTTTTTGCGCGAGTGATTTGCGGAAAACCATGGGGTTTTATCCGACCCCTTCCCCCTCCCCCTCCCCACTAGTGCTAGGGTTAATAAGGTTGCGGTATGTATAATTCACGCCTGTCATCCTATTCCTCATGAATGTGTCTCAGAAAATATGCATAATATAAGTCAGGAAGTAAAATTATTCGCCCATGTCTGGAACATACCTATATCGTGCTGTTTGCCCTAGCGCTCCTAGAGTGGGGTATTAAGATACTCTAATGCGAATATTCCGTGTTCAGGCAAGTTCCGGCAGCCAAACTAGGCGTTGTCTTGTGCAGGAGAAAGTGGCGAATTCGATAGGATATGTTTCGGAGTGGAAAAGTGTGGAAAATATTGTTGATTTCCTACATTTATCTAGAATACCATTCCTTCAATATGGTGTCTGTAAAGGTTTTTTGTAAATGGCATTTTTGTGACCTTAGTAAGGTTGTGGCATACTTTCTGTTTGCCATTCCATTCCTAATATAGGTGCCTTTCAGAAGATATGCAACTTTAAGAACTCGCAAGAATAAAACCAACAGGACAGGACAATGAAATTGAGCCATACTTTCGGTCCTTACTGAGCCCATTGAGTAATCACGCATGAGTGTGAACTTTGGGCGCATTTTTCCTAGTCTTGCTGTGGACATACAGATAAAACAATGCCATATATGAAAAATTCAGACATTTCTTAGCCCCACTAACACATAAAATAAACAAAAACCCAAAAAAGATTTTTTGAATTAATAGGCGCTAGATCGGAAAAATCCCCACTGTGCGGTGGGGTGGTGAAAGAATGAGGGGAGAGAGTGCTGCCTGCGGCCGGTGGGCACGCCAAGCCAGCCTGCTGGGGTCAGGCTACTGGTCTAAAGGCACTGAGAATTAGGGGATTCAGTAATCTAGGGGATCTGGCAGAGTTTCCATCACTGACTGTTGCAGTCTGCTTACATCTTCAACCTTGGGCGCAGGACGACCTATTCGGTATGCCCTCGGCAGTCGGCTAGTATTCTGACCTCCGTGCTCCCCCGACAGTACCGCGGCCGCAGCTCTCAGGGCGGAGTCGGCGGCGGCGGCGGCGGACGGCGTGACGGGTCACTCCAGTCGCCAGCGCCGCCCGTGCGCCGCATCGAGATCAGTCGCGACGTCAAACTGCACACCACGGAGAACGCGTGGAAGCCGGGCGCCGCCAAACCGGGCGCCGAGAGCGCCGAGGATTCGGCCGACGCCGAGGCGCAGCTGGTGGCGCGTCTCAAGGGCATCCTCAACAAGATCACGCCGAGCAACATCGAGAAGCACATTGAGAACATCCGCCAGCTGGAGTTCAACACGGACGAGCGGCTCGGGAAGATGATTAATGTGCTGTTCGACAAGGCAGTGAACGAGCCGGCCTACGCCAGCCAGTACGCGGCAGTGTGTCTGGCCATGACCAAACCCCCGGTGAGTGACCGGCGCTGGGAAGGCTGGAGGGAGGGGGAGGGGCACTGGACAGAGGGTGACGTGTGGAGACGTGGGAATATGAGGAAGGAATAAGGGCGGTGAGAGATATCGACTAAGTTATCAGCCTGAGATGACAGCTGGGGAGGTGCCTGCTAAATGATCAGTCCAGAATTACGTCGTCAACATTTTGTAAGAACTGTTTTCCTCGATCTGGACGGGTCAGTTACTTTTTTGTAATTGTGTATTGTATAGGCGCTGTGTCCTGGCTATTCCCGTACAGACCCGCGTGTTCGGCGCTGGCCGGTCGGATCTGGTCTCTGTAACACCCGCGTCCGTCCCCTCCGTCTTCTGTCGACAGGCCGGCAGCGAAGACGAGAGCAAGAAGGCCATGTCCATGTTCCGCAAGCTGCTGCTGACACAGTGCCAGCGCGAGTTCGAGAAGGACAAGTCGCTGGAGCTGAACCTGGGTGAGCGGCAGCGAGAGATCGAGGCGCAGACGGATCCGGTGGAGCGGCGCGCCAAAGAGCGCGCACTGGAGGAGGCACAGCGTCAGGGCCGCCTGCGCTCCAACGGAAACATCCGCTTCATCGGCGAGCTCTACAAGCTGAGCATGCTGACAGACCGTATCATGCAGCAGTGCATCACCAAACTGCTCAAGGACCGGCACGAGGACTCGTACGAGTGCATGTGCAAACTGGTCTCCACAATAGGACAGAAGCTGGAAGTGGCGGAGAAAAAACAAGGCCGTGACTTGGGCAAAATGTTCGCCGAGTTCGAGCGGCTCTCGGTGGATAAGAAGCTCTCGTCTCGGATCCGTTTCATGTTGCGTGACCTGATCGAGCTGCGTGCCAACCATTGGGTGCCGACGCGCACCACGGCTCAGCCGCGGCCTATGACCATCGAGGAGGTGCACGAGCAGGCGCGCCTGGCTGAGGCCAAGCAGCAGGCGGCGCTGGCGCAGGCCGAGGACCGGCGGCGCAGCGAGCGGCGGCGCGGCGGCGGCGGCCGCGACGCGCCGCGGCCCGGCGGCGACGGCTGGAGCACGGTCGGCCGCAACTCGCGGTACGACGCCAGCCGCATGATGAGCGCCGTCAGCGCCACGGCCGCCGCGCCGCCGCCGGCGCAGCTCAAACTGGGCCCCGGCGGCGGCAGCGGCTGGGGACTCGGTGCCAAGGGAGCCTCGCCCCGGCGGGCCTCTCCCGCTACCACCCCCGGCTCGGGCGCTAACCGGTTCCAGGCTCTACGGGCTGAGGCGCGCAGCCGGAGCCGCGGCGGTTCGGCCGAGCGCTCCGGGAGCAGGAACAGCTCTGCGGATCGGGCGCCACCACCGCCGGCCGCCGCCGCCTCGCGGCTCAAGGGCCCCGCGGACGCGGACGCGGACTACCTGAAACGGCAGGCGCGAGCCATCGTCGGCGAGTTCCTCGAGAATGGGGATGAGGAGGTGAGTGCGCTGCCGGGGACTGACGGGTGGGCGCAGCATTGGCAGATTTCCCAATAAGGCACGAATAAATCGACGTTTCTTAAGATTCTAGGGTCTGATATTATTCAGTTTTGCTAATTTATAGTTACCTACGCTCTGATACTGGAAAAATTGAATTTGCTGTCTCTCCGTACTTAGTGCCCTAAATTGTGAGCTGTGATTTGATCTGACATTTATTCCTTTGGTATTCTGGTGGGGCGGTCCGTCGTAAATGTGTTCTCTGGTGACCCAGCTATCTAACTCCCGCCCGTCCCTGTGTCCACAGTCTGCGATTGTCGACTGCGAGGGCCACCTGCACGACAGCACCTTGGCCGACTTCGTCACCCAGTCTCTGGAGGCGTTTGTGGACGCCCGCTCGGCTCGCGAGCGTCAGGCGGCCGGCCGGCTGCACGCGCTGCTGCTCCAGCGCGGTCTGCTGCCGGTGGCGGCGTACGTGAGCGGCGCGCGCCAGCTGCTAGACGTGTCTGCCGACCTGGCCACGGACGTGCCGGCCGTGTGGACCAACCTGGCGCAGCTGATGACGCCGCCGCTGCTGGCGCCCGGCGCCGGGCTCTCGCTGTCGGCGCTGGCGGCCGCCGCGTACGGCTGCGTCCAGGACGGCGGCGGCGTCAAGCTGACGGTGGCCCTGCTGCGCCAGCTGCGGGCCGAGGACGAGCAGCGGGCCCGGGAGCTGGTGCCGGCTGGATTCAACTGGCAGCGGCTGCTCGGCGACCGCGAGCCGCTCGCAGTGCTCAAGGAGGTGGGTGTGAGATGTGAGAGACTCAGAACAACTGATGGCGTGCTAAAGTTGGAGAACTGCTGTTCCTACCTTTCATAGTATCGGTCGTTGGTCTGTGGTTGCGTTGATCTCGGCTCTGGGGCATTCCACGATAGATCGTACCACTTTTTTCCAATTTGACACCCTCATCTCTAGGAATTTGACGAAAATTGGTCTCAGGGGTAATCAGGGGCTCTGAACTGAATCCACCTGTAACAATTTCAGGCTTATCAGATAAGTATTTTTTGAGTTATGGTGTATAACATTTTTGGGATCTTGCTTTGCAGCGCTAAGTTTGGCGGGCTGTAACTCTAAGACGGATTATTCAAATGCCAAATGTTATATAACATTGAACTTGCAACTAAACAGATTAATAAGTACTTTTTGAAATTTCGAAAAATACGCTATTTTTGATATATGACATACAGAGTTTTCTTTCTTTTGTATTTTTTGGACTTTGCGACCAAATTTTTTTTGATTTTTTATTTCTTTAAAAAAATATTTGGCTCATTGCTAGGAAGTATGCAAAAAATTAGGAAGGTGTTCTTTTTATAAATGTATTTATTCTAAGTCACGATAACGGTTTCGAATAGTGATTTTGGGAGGGGAGCTTACAAATGGCGTGGTAAAGCTGCCTAGTGACATCACGGGTTACTGAAATTTCAATTGAAGTCTGAGTCGTCTGAAAAAAGTGAAAAGAGGGTTTATCCAACCCTCTTTCCTATAAGCGCGAGGGTGAAAAAGGCTGTTTGGTTCTGACATTGTTTTGGACGCCAACGACCATAGCTGTCCGAGATGAAAGTTACAGGACGCATACATGGTGTCCTCCAGAGGTCTCACAACTTGTATATCTGCGAATTTTTAAAGGTCACATAAGGTCAGGTCGGTCACGTGACATCACTGATATAAGTCAATGGGGAAATATAAAAACTGTTATTTTGGCGCCGAGAATGATCTAAAACTATCCCACGTACGTACATGGTATCGTGATTTCATGCACTTCTTGCTAAGTCCAATGCTTTTCTTTTGCATTGGTAACCTTGCGTGACGTCATTTATGACGTCACTAGGGTCGTACGAGTTTTTCGTCAATAACTCCCGATCATGGACATGGACTCGGGAAGACCTTCCGAATCGAATGATATGCCATATGATACCCTTTGCCCAGCTTCGTGACCTGAGGGGCTCTGACCTGACCTTGACCCGAGGTCAACTACTTAAGTTGACCTCACCCTAGCAAAAAGTATACCATTCGATGCACCTGAGCTAGGCGAACACAATGATGCCAAAATCGCGGCTCTGCGGCCATTTTTTGTGAGGTTATTTACTAAAAACCGAACCCGTAACTTCTGTCACTTGACCTGACCTCAGACGCTACCGGTTAAAGGAAGGGTGCCACCTTTTGGACACAACGCAGTTTTTACAAGATTAGCCTCACATGAACCTAAAAACCGGCTTCACTTACCTATGCTCGAGACGGTCAGCATTGAATCCGCACGTGAAGTTATCATTTGCGAGTTTTGCTGCCAGCATTCGGGCAGGCAAAAATCTTCAGCACTATTTCCTCGTCGTGTTAAGGGTATTTTATAAAACATGAAATCAGCAAAGGTATGTATAAAAGTTATACTTTTGAAGCATGTTTTATCATTTTGAAAGGGTATATTTTTTCTTTATGGTATACACTTAAGTTTTAAAATTTTAATTGGGAAGTTTTTCTAGTAAGTTGCATGAAGGGTGAAGGGTTCCATAGATCTCTTAAGCATTGTAAAGGAAAAACCTTTACTCGACTTATTTGATGTTCTTTAACTGTTGGCAAATATGGCCAACAGTTACCTACTTGGTTACCTACAACTTAGTTCAAATCATGTTATCTTCTTCCTTTTTATTTGTTCATCTTTTTGTCTCAGTTGCGCCATCAATGCAAATGGCAGAATGATATGTTGCCATGACAACAGGATATGCCAGCCGTCCTAGCTGCCACATCAAACGACCTTGAGTTGTAGTGGTGATATAAACAACGATCTTTTTTTTTGGCCAATGTATTAAATGCAATGTTTCGGTTTTTTTGTATATTGTGGACGCGCTAACCACGTCTAAAAATTCAAATAAGTAAAATAGATTCATAGAACAAAAATTTCGGAAGGTGGCACCCTTCCTTTAACCTGAGACCTTAAAATCGGGTACCAATCGCTGCGACTTGTTACGGCATATACGCTCGTTTTTTCCACGAGGCTCTAGCTCTATTAGAAGCGAAACGGCGTGCTGGGGTCGTATCAACCCCTCCGAAACCCATTTTGTTTGCGGGAAAATGAGGATTTTATAGAAAGAACACCTTTCTAATTTTTTGCATGTCGATTTGCAATGACATGAAGTTTATTTTGAAAAAATAAAAATGTGAAAAATTTTGGTCCCAAAGGTCATTAGAGGCAAACGAAAAAAGATTAAGGTTTTTGCTCAACAATGAAAATTTTTCTTTGGAATTTTTAAATGGTAATATTAATTTTGATTCATCGCAAGCTTAGTGTTGTTTACTGTTTGTTGGTAGCTTAACCCGTTCTTGAGTTATAGGCCATCAAACTCACCGTTATAAACCGAAGTTAAAAAATGTAATGCAATATAACTCAAAAAGTTTTGATCTGAGAAGTCTGATATTTTGCCAGGCGTCTTTGGGGCCTATGATTACCCCTAGGACGGATTTTCATTAAAATCTGAGAGATGAGGGTGACGGGCCTGGTACGATCTATCGTGGAATGCCCCCTCTGGCACGCACCTGCTTCTGCTGTCTGGTCATATTCGGACCAATACTGGCTAGATTGCTAGCGTGATCCGTTGAAGTCTACAGTTCTCAAAGTTCTGAGCAGAGTGCCCCGATTTCGGTGGTCTACTCCGTCTCATGTGTGATCCCTTCGTTCTTTGCGACCTGACCAGTGACCGTTCCCACCCGCAGGCTGACCTCGAGTGTCCTCTGTCGAGTCTGTATCTCTCTCTCTGTGACCTGACCAGTGACCGTTCCCACCCGCAGGCTGACCTCGAGTGTCCTCTGTCGAGTCTGTATCTCTCTCTGTGACCTGACCTGTGACCCTTCCCACTCGCAGGCTGACCTCGAGTGCCTTCTGTCGGGTCTCTATCTCTCACTGTGACCTGACCTGTGACCCGCCCACCCGCAGGCTGACCTCGAGTGCCTTCTGTCGGGTCTCTACCTCTCACTGTGACCTGACCTATGACCCGTCCTATCCGCAGGCTGACCTCGAGTGCCTTGTATCGGTCTGTCGGCTCCGGTCCCGGGTCCTGTGACCTGACCTATGCCCCGTCCCGTTCGCAGGCTGACCTCGAGTGCCTTGTATCGGGCGACCCGTCGCCGCTGCCGGCCGACCGGGCGCCTCCGGTGCCGGGTCTGCGCGCCCTTCTGGACGCCATCCGTTCAGACGTACCCCTGGCCCGGTGGCTGGAGCTCAACTGCCCGCAGCCGGAGAAGCGGCAGCACCCGAGCTTCGTGGCCGACCTGGTGGCCGCCGTCTGCTTCGACGCCCTGATCGCAGGTCAGTTGCACAGGGACCCCAACTGTTGGGTTGAGGGGGTGAGGTGCCTATCCCCCCTCACTGTTACAGTGAGGGGGATGGGCAGTTTTGGAGCAGGGGAGGAACAGGGTCAAAGTGCGGAACTGGACAGTTTAAATACATGGAGGGACGGAGTGTGTTGTAGTTGGAAAGAAGTGAGCATGGAAAATTCGTTGGGGCTTTGGGCGGAGGTCTCAAAGTTGAATGCTGTTGCTGGATAGAGGCATTGCCGCGATAAATTCAGTGCATTCGGTGCGAATAGATAACAATGATGTAGCAAGACGCGAGTTAAAGGTAGACTGCCACCTTTTTTCCACAAAACGGTTTTCACTAGAGCTGAGCCACCTATGTCCCAGACTGAAGTCGGTTTTCCGAAATTCGAACCCGTTTGCGAGAAATCGGAGACCAAAGTTCAGTTTGATGCCATTTTTTTAGTCCAAGAAAACCGACATCTCTACTGTTTATCGATAACTTTGAAACATGAATTTTCTTATCTTTTGATAAATATATGTCAAAACTTTGATTTTTTCGAGATCAGAGAAGAATTTTGGAGTGTCAAAATAAAAGTTAAACTTATATATTCAGTAGTTCATTTTTCCCAAAAAAGTGTGGGAAATGGGGTTTAACATGGGCCAGACCCATTCCAAATGAGCCATGATTTTTAAATGTTTTACGAACTTAAATGCAAAATAAATTAAACATGGCCAATTTCTTATGAAATCATATATTAGTAAATCATAAAATACCTTACTTTTTCAAATAAAATGTAATAATCTTATGACCTTGAAGTCTAGTGATGTGTTAACATTGTCGCTAGACATTAACCGATTGATAATTGTATGATAATCGACAATTTTTTTCGCGATTCACGTGATGATACTTTGTCAGGTGAATTCTAAAATTTTGTTTTGTCCAGGGAATAAATCATAGGCCGATCTGAGAAAACTTTTTGAAGGTGGCAGTCTTCCTTTAACATGGGGTTTGAGTTGAGATAGCCAAGTTTGCGGCGAGGTTCAGAAACCACTATCTATCTAGGTTGCAACCCCCGCGGCCTCTTGGTGTTGAAGAAATTCGTTCCCTTCATTTGAAAATGGGCCTTGTACAAGGCCCTATCTTCAACATGGAGCGACCGTTAGTGTGACGTCACCTCGTTTAGTCATTCTGATTTAAATGGGTTTGTTCGTTGAAAAATCGCTTAAAACTTGGTCTGAACTTTGTTGTGGTGCCTACAGAGTAAAAAGAATCAGCTTTATGACAGTAATGTGGCCTGGGGAAGGAGATAATTTTGGGCTGTGACGTCACATATTTGAAAGTTTGTGTTTGGAATATGGGAAGCCTAAGATGTTTAATGAAAAATAAATGCCAGAACCGTGTTCCTGGTCATCCAATCTATAAAGTCGGGCACAATTTAACTGGTTTTAACAACATTTTAGAAGGTGGGATAGTCCCTTCAAGCAACGATCGTCATCCATTATTTTATATCTGTCTGCATCGGAATATCATTTATAAATGTCTAAATGATAGTGTGTAGCACCGGGTACATAATTGCATTCGATGAGTGGCTCCTGACTGCCTGACATAGTCTGCCGGTTAGCCTGACCATCCCCTTCCGTCCCTCAGAGTCTGGCGCGCTGCGGGTGGCGTCGGAGCGCATTGAGCGCTACTGTGACCTGTTGCGACCGGTGCTGGAGCCGGCCGAGCGACAGGAGGCGGCTGTGCGCGCCGCTGCCGACCTGGTGCGGCACCTCGACTGTAGTACAGGTACGACTGAGCAGGACAGCCGAGCGGGAGCCGGGTGTGCTGGTGCACCATGCCCATAGAGAACCTCAGTCAGGCACGGTACATTCCACAGCTGGGGTCTGATCACACGAATCTGGCTGTCGCCTGCTATAACTATCCTGCAACCCAATTAGGTGCCGGCCTACTACGATGGCTGTGTTCGGTGTACGCTCTAGTGTACGCTCTGTCCTTAGTTGCAGCTCTGCCCTAACTACACGCACGTCGTGCAGTCAGTCGTGAGTCCCGGATCGGCTGTGTTGCGTTGTGTCTGTCCTGTGGATGCCTGTCGACTGTGTTTTGGGTCTTTCCTGCAGTCGGCGGACGACTGTGTTGTGTTAAGTGTCTGTCCTGCGGCGGGCTAGCTATGCTGGCGGTGCTGACTGCTGATTGCTGATTGCTGACTGCTGACTGCTGACCCCGCTGACCGCTCCGTTCCCAGACGTGCTGGAGCAGCTGCTGGAGCGGCTGCTGACGCTGCGGCTGGTCTCCGAGCCGGCGCTGCGCCACTGGCGGGAGGCGGTCGGCGGCGACCCGATCGTGCCGCCTCTGCGCTTCCTGCAGCCGTGACCGGCGCATGACGGATAGCCTAATGGGGGGGGGGGGGGGGACGGCCAGCTCCACTGCCGCCGACTGTACAGATAATCGGCCGGGCCGACCGGACGGGAACGATGACTGCCTCCACTGCAGGGCCGGGCCGAGAGAGAGAGAGGAGCTACACAGAGAGCTATTTAAACGCAGATAGGGTGAATTTATCTGGGCGTGACCCCGCGCCGGCCTCGCACGGAGACCGGCCGGGCGGAGAGGAGAGGTAGAAGTCCAGAGAGTGAGTGCCTGCTCCGCGCGTCTAACGGGTGTCGAGCCAGAGCCGGAGGATGCCAGCGGCCCTCTGCTGGCCAGATCGCGCCGCTTTATATTATGAAACAAAGGATATTTTAATATAAAAATAAAGTGGTCATGTCTGCGTTTGTGCTGATGGACGGAATGGAGATGATATAAAGATAGAAAATGCAGCACGAAAGACTTCGTTTACACAGTTGTTGCGACTGGTGGCTGAAATAAGCTGAAACTGAGCGAGGGCGTACCTTGGGCAATGGGCGGTAACTTACGGGTATTTCTATCGCGCTTATCCCAAGCTGGCTAATATGTAAGTAGACTGGGAAGTTGGACTTGTTAGTGTAGCAAGGGCTTAGTTATAATATAAACTAAGAATGTTTATCTACACTTTTCACCGTTAGTAGGTACTCGTGGGAGCGGAGCGACAATGGGATGGTATGGTGATTTGCAGCTTGTTAGATGATATTCATAGATATGCAGCGATTTAGCACATTCGATGCCAATCGGAAGACGTTTACTGCGCGGCCGTGATAAATCAGGCGCGGTCACGCTGCCGGGCAAGCTTGTTTAGAGTGTATGTAGTAGTTAGGTGGGAGTTTAATTTTTGTGGCTAAATTTTGACCTAATATTAAGCCAAGACCATAGGTAAGTATTGACGTTTTCCTTTTCTTGTAGGTCTTTGTTTTGCTGCGATATTGATTAGGTGCATAGGTACAATACAAGTCTGCACGAAAAGGTGTCGGATCGGTCGGTTGCTCGCTCGTGGTTTTTGGATTTTGATCCCATTTATTGATATTTTAGACTACATTGCAATCGCAGTTTGGATTAAAATTTTGTTTGTAGTCATTTCAAACAGCATTCTGCCAGTTTTCCCATACAGTCGGGCGCACTAGGGTAATTCCGTTCCATATATAGAAACGTTTCTTTATTTGAAATGTTTTTTGTTCCATATATAGAAACGCTCGTTCCATAAATAGAAACGCCAACCTTCCGGACGATTTATTTTAAAGCAAGATGCGTTATATAACTTTCTAGATGGTGGAATGCCATCTAGTGGCAACAAGGAAGCACTCGGGTGAAAATGACACGTCAATTTCGCCAAAACATAAACCATCTATTTAGCCCAAATTAGCCAATATTCTGCCAAAAATCAGCCCAAATCGGGTTCTGGACGTCATATTTGAAGGGAAACCTTAATGGAAGTTTTTCTCTTATTCGCAATTTCTTCTACATTTTACACAAACCGGAAATCAAATCGTCGTCATTACCAAGGGCCACCATGGATTTCTTCGGGCCTCCTTGCGATTATAAACTCAAATGTTGGCTTGTCACTGGTGGTAACCGTTTTGTGCGAAATTTCGCCGGAGCTTGCGAAGATCGTCAAACAGGTGAGCGTGCACCTACCGTTTCCAAATATAGAACCGCAGCGTTTCCATATTTGGAACAAGCGTTTCTATATATGGAACATCGTTTCCAAATATAGAAACGTTTCTATATATGGAACGGAATTACCCTAGTGCGCCCGACTGATACTGATGTCCATATGGAAGTTCATACCTGGTGTTGTGCCATCACAATCATTGATAGTGGTTTCCGCATGCGATAGGATGAGCGATAAACGATAATTATCGCTGTTAAGTAAATCGGTTATCGTTATCGTTTATCGCTAAATTTTCAAAACTATTGCTCATCCACTTATCGCAAGTTACAAAAATTATGAACTATAAACGATAAAATGTAAAACGGGATGATGGAAAAATGGAAGACGATCGACAGTGTATGCCGCCCAACAGTATGTGTGCGTGGTGTGCGCAGCCTGTTGCCATCTGCTAAGTGTACCTATAGATCTGCAAATAAACTTAAAGCACACTTATTTAGCTCTCGCGGGTGCCGCCGTCCCCCCCCCCCCATAGGGTTTTTTCGCGATAGCTCCTAACACGCTGGCGAGAGAGCTGAAACTTGGCATACCTGACCATAGATTCAAGCCGGATCTTTTGACACCAACCGCATTTTTAGGTCAGGTCAGGTCACTGACCTATGGCGTCATAAGTGAACCTCTGCACGGTCTTCAGATGTTGCAACTTTGCAACGCCCTCCCTCACTGCCAGAGGAGATGTCACAGGGAAATGAAACTGGCAGGATCTAGTATCCATTATGAGTCTCACAACTTGTATATCTCGGATGTTTCCTGAAGGTGATATGAATTATGAGGTCAGGTCATTTTTGTGACCTCACCATTATAAGTCAATGGGGAAAAATGAAAACTGCTATTCTGGCGCCGGGAACGATCTCCAACTATCTCAAGCACACATAATCGTGATTCGATGCACTCCTTGCAAGGTTAGATGCGTCACTTTTGCAATGCTTACCTTGCGTGACGTCATTTATGAAGTCATTAAGGGTGCATTAAGGTCATATTAGTTTGTATTCAATAACTCCCGATCAAATTGAGCTAGCGAGTCGGGAAAGTCACCAATGGACTCAGGAAGACCTGCCGAATCGAATGCTATGCGACATGACCTCTTTCGACTAAATTCGTGACCTGGGGGTGCTGACCTGACTGTGACCTGAGTTCAACACCCTAAGTTGACCTGACCCAAACAAAAAGTATATCATTCGATGCGCCTGAGCGAGGCGAACACGATGCTGCCAAAATCGCGGCTCTGCGGCCATTTTTTTGCGAAGTTATTCACCAAAAACTGAACCGTACCTTGGGGCACTTGACCTGACCTCAGAGGTCACCGGTTGACCTAGGACCTTAAAATTGGGTACCAATCTCTGCGTCTCGTAACGGCGCACACGCTCGTTTTTTCCGCGACGCCCTAGCTCCACCAGGGGCGAAACGGCGAGGGGGTGGGCGTGGGGTCGTACCCGCCCCCCCCCCCCCCTCCCCTCGGCCGGCGCGTATGTAGAAAACCAATAGGTCCGGCGAGGGTTGAGCTGTATTTCTTATCGCTTTTGTTATCGCTGCTAAAAAACAATTATCGTTATCGTTGTATCGTTTATCGTTTCGATATCGCTGTTTAAAAACAATTATCGTTATAGTTTTATCGTTTATCGTTTCGTTATCGCTGTTAAAAAACAATTATAGTTATCGTTTTATCGTTTTATCGCTATCGCTGTTAATTTTTTTGAAAATTTTATCGCTTATCGTTTATCGTTATCGCAAACCTTTCTTATCGTTTTATCGTTATCGCAGGTCCGAAAATTAGTTATCGCGGAAAGCACTGATCATTGACCTCAGCCAGATCAGATTGCAAAATATGGCAATTTTGACGAGATTTGGGTGGTCTCAAAGCAGGTTTCACACTTCCCCGTGAACTGAAAGTTGAAATGAAATGGACAGAGGTCCGGTGATGGGCTGTGACCTTGAGACAGTCGCCAGTTTATTACATCTCAAACATACTATCAATGCAGGGAAGAGATCTGGGGCGTGAACGGCTCACGGGGTCTTCGCTAGCCTTACTCGGGTATGAATAACAAATCTTAAGAGTGCAAAGCACGGCCCAGGCATGCTGTTTTGCAATAACTAATCGGGGTGGTACATGCCTGGAAGTCGAGCTCTCACTTGAAGCTTGCTAGTGAAACAAATGCAAAAGGTGCGAACAGATGAGAACGCAACTACCACATATTTTTTAGAGTGCTGAGGGCTGTTCATTGGCAATGGCATGTTTGTGTGTAAGCGTGACAGATCATCATGATCAGTGCGGTCGTTGCCACAAATTCCGGCTTTTCACTGTGGTTGGCATATAGGGGGACAGGCAGAGGAACCTCTGTTGGACGGCTTAAGTGAAGCAGATGAGATAATGTTGGGGTATTTTGGGACCCTGATTATGATTTTCTGACTAGTTTTGTTTGATTATGCCATGCGTGCATTTGGGATAGGCTGGGTGTGGGTCATTTCAGGTCAACCAGCATTTGTCCCACCAGTTGCTCTTGGCCAGTATTTACTACCAATGATGCCTCTGTCACCTGTTATGTAACATGTAGTCCCGAAAAGTAGTTCCCAAATCATCAAAGGAATCCTAAATTTGTTTTTGGCTCTGAAAGCTTCTCAAGTAAGATTAACAATAAGAAAGTCAACAGAGGTCACCAAGTACCAACCGAGTCCGAGTCAGTCGGGCACATTGGAACCCCGCTTCCGATATAGGTAGGGTACCTAAGTGTGATAGTTAGGTAATCCATGAAAAACATTGCTGGCTGACTTTAAGTTTAAATGTGTTCTTTGCTGAGACCCTTTCAATGCTGTCTGGGGTGTGTGACGAGTCTCGCTACGATGCTCAATTTCTTTGTGCTTGTGCGGAACATGTTAGCTTGAATTTGAAACGCTGTGTGCCAGGCAGGCGTGAAAATTACGGACACGAGCGTGCACTCCCATCGAACTGGCCGCATCTCGGGCGTGCACGTGCGATGCTTTGTAGTATGGATGAGAGGCACGGCCTCGTGACACATGGCGGCACTCCGCAGTGCGTCGTGTGGGGACAATTAGGCTCTGCTGCCAGGCACAGATAGTGTTGTCGATGATTCGACACTCGCACTCGACAGAGGCACCGGGGCCCTCATCATGTGGCCGAATGGAAGGGGGTGCTCGATCCTCATCCCAGCTGGCCGCCTGTGCTGTTTCCGAGCTGAGGACGCCCAGCGGGCCGCACTCTCCTACCTGCTGGAGAACCCACTGCGAGGACCTCATTATCGTCTGCACCGACTCCCAGTCAATGGCTGCCCTGGGTGCTGCCTGCAGGACCATCCAGAGCTGTTCGGCTACGCCTCGCCACTGAGGCCGAGGGAGCAAACAACAACAGTAACAACAATAAATGTTAAAAATTGCGAGACAAATCTGTGATAATGCATGTTGAAAATTTATTTCCTTCTTTCAGATTCTGTTTTATAGGAATGGGGAAGAAATGGAGAAATAAGAAGAAACCCCAGAATGGGAATTCTGGAAAAGTTGATGAGGTAAGTGCTTCATTGCCTTGTAATTTTATGTGAGAACACTCAGCACTTCACAACCTTCTTTATCTGAGTTAGAGAAGTCTGTGTCTGAGTTGATATTAATACTAGGTACACAAGTGTTTCAGCGGCTGTAACTCATACTTGTCGCAAACCAAATAAGCTAACATT